AAAATATGATGGCTTACCTAGCACACTTGGAAATCAAGACTGATCACGTCACCGCAGAATTGCAGACGGTGACTAGATTAGTAAAAGGAAAGAACAAGGTTGTGCATGAAGAGGTASTCGAGGAAAGGGAATAAAAGAAAGAGCCTCAGGAAAAGTTGATGAAAGACGCCATGAAACCCGAGAACCAAAAGAACTCGAGCCCGCTAAAAAAGAAGCCTCGAAAAAGGAAGAAGGGGAGAAACCAAAAAGGAAAGAAAAGGTTAAAATGAAATTGCCACTTACCTACAACGGTAAAAGAGGGGAACACTTGTTGTTATGGATTGTCGAGATTCAGACGTATTGTGGGACCACTCCAGTGGCGGAGGACAGTCAAGTTGCATTCTCCACCTCTTGTCTGGGGAAAGTTGCAAAGGAGTGGGTACAGTGTGAGGCCAATGCCGCTGGCTTCGACGATATAGTTGAGTGGGCAAAAACAATAACTTCGCGRGAAGTCCTTTTGAAAATAAAGGAGCGGCTCCTCGACAAAACAACGGCCTATAAGGCCTTTGACGAACTCACCGCTATCYGCCAGAAGCGTTGGTCCACTCTCGATGCTATGTCACGTGAAGTGGATTGTCTTTTGCAGGGACCAGGGTCGACTTCACGGACATGGGATTGTTKATTGTTTTTCCAAATTCGTAAGTCTGATTCCATTGTCACCTCATGCCCCAACTGAAGTTGTGATCCGTGAGTTTCACCAGAAGTACATTCTGCAGTTCGGAACCCCGAAAACCCTTGTGAGTGATCGGGACCCACGCTTCATAAGTACTGAATGGAAGGACTTCACGTCCTAACTCTCTGGCCTCAAACTGAGCATGACATCTGGTCGACATCTTGAAGCCAATGGTTTGGCTCAGGAGATTAACCAGACCATGTTCCAACTTCTCCGTGCTTTAATCATTTTGGATCAGGAAACGTGGGATGAAGAGCTGCATTCAGTCAAGGGGTTGTACAACAACTTCATCCATTCTTCCACAGGCATGACGACAAACAGGCTCCATTACGGTTGACAGATTCGTAATCCGCTCTCCTACTTATTCCATGAACAGTCGGCTGGTTTAACACCCGGTAGGCCTGGCTTCAGTGCCAAGTATGATCGCTTGCTCGAAGTTGCCATTGCAACAATGACCAAGCGACAACACGCCATCATCCATCATGTGAATAAGCAACGTCAACCATCGGATATTAAAGTAGGAAGTTATGTCTGGGTCGAGATGTTTGAATTTGCAGAAGAAGAGGGAGTGTCACTCAAACTTCTCCCTCTCTATTATGGTCCRTGGGAMGTTCTAGACAYGATTGGCAATGATGAAWTCGGCCCTTCATATACAATTGTTGTGCCTCCTCATCTATGCACGTACCCAGACTTTCATGCGTCAAGGTTGTATATACATCGTGATGTTGAGTCCTTCTACTATMGTGCAGACATGATTCCTCGTGCAATCAATGGCGGTCATGAGATCGATAGAATCAAACAACACGTACGGAGGGACATAATAGACAATATCAAATTCATTTCATGTATCACCCGTTGGACGATCTCTATTGGATCTCAAAGAAGGAATTGATGTGCAACGCACCTCACGTCGTTAAAGCCTACAAACGACAAATAGCCTCTAATGCTGTACCAAAAATCTCTGCAAAACTCACTGCTACTGAGTACTCACGAAGTCTCTTTGCTATGTTTGCTTACAATGCGTTTGTCGGGGACTCAGAATGAGTTACTCACTCGAAGGGACCTCGCTCTTAAGAGTGGGGTAATGTAATGACTTGCCAAACACGGACTGTTACACACAACTGATTTCTGCGTTTTGCTCATGTAATTAATTCCTTGCTGAGTTTCTCGCTTGTTGCTGAGTTCTCTAAGTTTGTGTGTGTGCATGCTTGATGGTTTGCATGCCTGTCAGAGTGCTTGTCGGCCTTGGTGKGTGTGTGTGTGTRRCCCTCAAGGGCACTTGCTCGTTCAAAGGGCCCGAAGGGCCGGT